ACCACTGCTTGAAGAAGGTGTCTTCCAGGAACTGGCAGTAGGACTGGGAGTTGAGCTTGACTCAATCCTCAACCCGAAAAGGCCCCACAAGCTCATCTTTGATGATACCAGCTCAAACCAGTACTCCACCTCCACCTTGCTGGCGTCTGAGTCGGACTGGAGCTCTCTGCCCTTTACCAATCCAGCCACGGGCCCATCCATCTGGCCCATCAAGACTCACTCTCATTTCATCAGTCCATAAAACCTTTGAAAAATCAGTCTTGAGATATTTCTTGGCCCAGTCTTGACGTTTCAGCTTGTGTGTCTTGCTCAGTGGTGGTCGTCTTTCAGCCTTTCTTACCTTGGCCATGTCTCTGAGTATTGCACACCTTGTGCTTTTGGGCACTCCAGTGATGTTGCAGCTCTGAAATATGGCCAAACTGGTGGCAAGTGGCATCGTGGCAGCTGCACGCTTGACTTTTCTCAGTTCATGGGCAGTTATTTTGCGCCTTGGTTTTTCCACACGCTTCTTGCGACCCTGTTGACTATTTTGAATGAAACGCTTGATTGTTCGATCACGCTTCAGAAGCTTTGCAATTTTAAGAGTGCTGCATCCCTCTGCAAGATATCTCACTATTTTTGACTTTTCTGAGCCTGTCAAGTCCTTCTTTTGACCCATTTTGCCAAAGGAAAGGAAGTTGCCTAATAATTATGCACACCTGATATAGGGTGTTGATGTCATTAGACCACACCCCTTCTCATTACAGAGATGCACATCACCTAATATGCTTAATTGGTAGTAGGCTTTCGAGCCTATACAGCTTGGAGTAAGACAACATGCATAAAGAGGATGATGTGGTCAAAATACTCATTTGCCTAATAATTCTGCACTCCCTGTATTAGAAGGATAATCAATCTGTTAGACAGATCGAATAGAGACAAACAACCTTTTATACCAATTTTAATAGATGCTGAAAAAGCGTTTGATTGGAAGTTGGTGTGGACAGGTTTATGTTTAGCTCTATTAAAGCCTTATATTCATGTCTCTCTGCGAGGATGGTGGGTCAAAATATACAGGCTTATTGGTTTCCACTTAGCAATGGGACTAGACAGGGGGGTCCTCTGTTGCCTTTATTATATGTATTAACAATAGAATCATTAGCTATTGAAATAAGAAATAATAATATGTCTCTCAGTGCCCTGTTGTTGTCTTGTGATACCTGTAGTGTAGTTTTCTCGTGTTGCTCTCTGGTTACTGATTATTTGGCTCGTTATTCCGATTTTCCTGTATTATCCTCGGCTTGTTTCTCGTTCTCCCGTTTTCTGGCTCCCTTTACTTGGCTTGTCTCTTGACTATTCTTAGTGTGCTTAGCCCGGCCACTCTAAGGACCGGTATAGCATCCTTCCTCTCTGTGACCTGTTAGCGTGTTAGGTTCCAGAATCGTGACATTACAACAGGGCCACCATGGAACCTGCTGACATTCCACAGCTGTTAGTAAATCAGGAGGCTAGAATGGATGGTTTAGACCATCGTATGGATCAGTTTGCCCAGGCTTTACAAACCATACTGGCTCGTACTGCCCACTTGCAACCTGCCGTTCAAGAAGCTGTTGCTGCTGTGCCAGAACCCATTCACGATCCAGTACTCGTTCCTGCTCACATGGTTCACATGACGCCACAACAGCGCTATAGCGGTGATCCAGCATTGTGTCGTGGTTTCCTCAACCAAATTGATATTCATTTGGTGATGAATCCTCGTTCCTACCCCACTGATAGAACCAAAATTGCTTTTCTAATCAACCACTTGTCTGGGAAAGCTTTAGCATGGGCTAATCCCATGTCGGAGAATACATCCCCAATGTCCTTTGCAGACTTTTTGACAGCTTTCAAACGTACATTTGATCAACCTGGTAGGGTTGCTTCTGCTGGCAAAGCTCTGCTTAGGGTCCAACAGGGTAATAGATCTGTAGCGGATTATACTATTGAATTCTGCACTCTAGCAGCTGAAGTTGTTTGAAATAATGACGCCCTCGTAACAGCCTTTCAGGAGGGTTTGGCCGCTTACATACTAGATGAAATAGCATCTAGGGAATTGCCTGTTCTTCTGGATGATGTAATAGATTATATCATTCTTATTGACAACCGTATTAGAGAGAGGCGTAGTCAAAGAAGGATGAATACACAGGGGCCACCTGCTTTACCCAGTACTGCATTACTAGCATTACCTCCCCCTAATCAACCATCTCCCGAACCCATGCAATTGGGTGCTATAGGGTTAACTGAAGCTGAAAGAATGTATCGCAGAAAGGAGGGGTTATGCCTTTATTGTGGAAAGGGGGCATGTCCAAAGAAACTGTCCAAGTTTGCAGGGAAACTTCAGCACCTAAGGCCTAGAGAGGGGTCGGCCTCGGGTGTTATGATTTTTTCCCCTCATGTGTCCATCTCCAGACCATTCATTACGGTTACTCTTTTGGTCAATCAAACCACTATAATAACTAAAGCCTTGATCGATTCAGGTGCTGCAGACAACTTTATGGATGAGAACTTTGCTAAAACCGCAGCCTTGACTCTGATCCAAAAGGCCACACCCTTGGCCGTTGAGGCCATAGATGGTAGACCACTTGACAAACCTCTGGTGACCCATGAAACCCAAGAAATGGTTATGGCCGTGGGTGCCTTACACAAGGAAAGGTTAACCTTCCAAATAATTGACTCCCCTACAGCTTCCATCGTTCTAGGCTTTCCCTGGTTAGTTAAACACAACCCGGTACTTGATTGGGGTTGTTTAGATATACTCTCCTGGGGGGAATCTTGTCAACGAGATTGTATGGCCCGTTTACGTCCTGTTTGCTTACTTAATGTGCCTACAGCCAAACCACTTTCTGTTTCTGTTCCTCCTGTGTATGCAGACCTCGCATTGGTCTTTGAAAAAAAGGGAGGCCGATAAGCTACCCCCACACCGGGATTATGACTGTGCCATAAACCTGTTACCTGGTACTATGCCCCCTAGGGGTAAGGCCTACCCGCTTTCTGAGAAAGAAAATCAGGTCATGGAGGAGTACATACAGGAATCCTTACGTAAAGGTTTTATCAGAAGGTCATCCTCTCCTGCTGGTGCTGGTTTCTTTTTCGTTGCCAAGAAAGAGGGCGATTTGAGGCCATGTATAGACTACAGGGGTCTGAATAATATAACAATTAAAAACGCTTATCCTATCCCTCACATCACTGAGTTGTTTGACCGTGTTAAAGGTTCTAGATATTATACTAAACTAGACCTCAGGGGGGCTTATAACTTGGTTCGTATAAAAGAGAATGATGAATGGAAAACAGCGTTCAATGCAGTGGGCATTATGAGTATCTAGTCATGCCTTTTGGACTGTGTAATGCTCCTGCTGTGTTTCAGGACCTCATAAATGATGTCCTTAGAGATTTACTGCATGTCTGTGCCGTAGTTTATCTTGATGATATACTTGTATATTTTCTGATTTGAAGTCACATCATGCTCATGTGAGGATGGTACTTAAGAGATTGCTGCAGAAACAGTCTTTATTGCAAATTAGAGAAATGTTTATTTGACCAAAAATCAGTACAATTCCTAGGGTATGTCATTTCTGAACAGGGATTCAGCATGGATCCTTCAAAATTAGAAGCCATATTGTCTTGGCCTCTTCCCCAAGGCCTTAAGGCGATACAGCGATTTATAGGCTTTGCCAATTATTATCGGAGGTTTATTAAAAATCAGTTATTTCTCCTAACACGAAACTGACTAAAAAGTGTTTGCACCCCAGGGTTTGGACTCCTGAAGCCGTTAAAGCCTTCGAGACTCTCAAAAAGGCATTTGCCACTGCCCCTGTGCTACACCATCCTGATCCTTCCCTTCCCTTTGTTATGGAAGTAGACGCTTCAGAATCGGGTGTAGAAGCCGTATTATCACAAAGACTATCGCATACCGAACCCTGTTGTTACTTTTCTAAAAGGCTGTCTGATTCGGAAAAGAATTACGACGTCAGGAACAGGGAACCAATGGCTATTGCGATGGCTTTTAAAGAATGGAGGTACTTATTAGAAGGAGCTAGACACAAAATCTTAGTTATAACTGATCATAAGCAGATGCTAAAAGGTTGTCCTCTCGTCAGGCCAGATGGTCTTTATTTCTTTCACGCTTTCAGTTCATTATCACATATAGGCCTGGATACCGTAATGTCAAGGCTGATGCTATCTCCAGACAGTAGGAACCTTTGGAGTCGCTTGCCCCCGCTCCTGAACCCATTGTACCTACATCTAAGATAATAATAGCTGCTACCCGTTTAGTTATTTTGTCTCTTTTCCTTGATGGTATCAAGATATACCAATCCCAAGCACCATCTGAGACACCTGTTGGTAGATTATACGTGAAAGAAAAAGATAGAAAGAAATTGTTAGCTTTATTTCACACCGCCAAAACTGCTGGTCATCCAGGGGTTACCAAAACATACAAGGGTCCCCTTCAACAGTTTTGGTGGCCCTCACTTAAGCAAGACGTAGTAGATTATGTGCAGGCTTGTCGTGTTTGCGCACAGTGTAAGTCCCCTAATGTTAAACCCCCGGGACTCCTAATGCCTCTATCTGTACCCAAGAAACCATGGACCCACTTATCCAGAGACTTCATTGTAGATCTTCCTTCATCTGATGGACAGACAGTAATTTGACTGTGACTGATAGGTTCTCTAAAATGGCACACTTTATTCCACTTAAAAAACTACCTTCTGCGGTTCAGTTGGCTCAGGTATTTGCCAAAGAGGTGTTCTGCTTGCATGGTATACCACAGGATATCGTATCCGACAGGGGTCCTCAATTTGTCTCTCGGTTTTGGAGGGGCTTTTGTGCTGAGATGGGGATCTCCTTGTCATTTACTTCCTCTTCTCATCCACAATCTAATGGAGCTGCTGAACGGGCAAATCAATCTGTGGAGTTATATTTACGCTGCTTCATGAATGCGCAACAGGACAACTGGTCTCATCTCCTTCCCTGGGCTGAATTCGCCAGGAACACCGTGACTGATTCGTCCGCTGACCTAAGTCCTTTTATGGTAGCTTATGGGTTCCAATCCTCAGTACTTCCCGGCGTGTTCTCCGACAAGGGAATGCCCGCTTTGGACGAGCACCTCACCTCCTTACGGAAAATGTGGGATCAGGTCCATGCTACTCTCTCTCGTGCGGCTGCTACTCAGAAGAGATTTGCTGATCGTCGTAGGGGTGCGGCTCCTTCTTATGCCCCGGGTGATAGGGTTTGGTTGACCTCTAAGAATCTCCGCCTCAGGGTTACCTCAATGAAATTTGCGCCCAGGTCCTTGGCCCCTATAAGGTATTGCATAAGGTGAATCCTGTGTCCTACTCCCTGGCCTTGCGTATACCTAACACTTTTCACACCTCCCTTTTGAAGCCCTTGCTCTGTAATCGGTTCTCTGGTCCTCTCAGGCGTCCGGATTCCCTCCGCGCTGTCTCCAGTGATGTGTACGAAGTGGCTGCTCTGCTTGATTCTCGTTTTTCTCGGGGTCGGTTGCAGTATCTGGTGGATTGGAAGGGTTACGGCCCTGAGGAGCGGTCTTGACTTGAATGCGCCCTCTTTGATCCGCTCCTTTCATGCGCGGTTTCCTTTGAAGCCTTCGGCTTCCCGCACGTTGGGCGCTCCTCGAGGGGGGGGTTATGTCAGGGCTCCGTGGGCAGCTGTGAGGGGAGGCTGCACGCCACTTACAGCACTCACCCTCAGTCCATCGCGGTCTCCCCTCCTCCTACCTGTCGGTGAGCGGCGTCTCCTCTGCGCTGTGCGCCGCTCGCGTCCTCCTCCTCGCCTCCCAGCGGCAGCATGTATGACGCTGCACGCTGGGAGCCCGCGCATTTATGCGAACGCCGGGGTCAGTCATGTGACCCGGCGTTAAAGCAACAGTACCATAATCACAGTGCGAGGTGTAGATATCTCCCACTTGTGATTGTTAATTCTGATTGGAAGTTATCCAATCAGAATTAAGCAAAGGATATATATACTTACCTTTCCTGTCTCTCAGTGCCCTGTTGTTGTCTTGTGATACCTGTAGTGCAGTTTTCTCGTGTTGCTCTCTGGTTACTGATTATTTGGCTCGTTATTCCGATTTTCCTGTATTCTCCACTCCTTTGACCTCGGCTTGTTTCTCGTTCTCCCGTTTTCTGGCTCCCTTTACTTGGCTTGTCTCTTGACTATTCTTAGTGTGCTTAGCCCGGCCACTCTAAGGAACGGTATAGCACCCTTCCTATCTGTGACCTGTTAGCGTGTTAGGTTCCCGAATCGTGACACCTATATTGCCTCAGGCTCTGGGCTTCATCCAGCTGTGGCCATGACATCAGTTTCCAGAGTTTTAAAACAATGGCTGGATGATCTTGAAGTGCACATTTCGAGTAGGGTCAGCAGATCCTGAATTAATTTAAGTTGGCTATTGACTTTTCAATGGAAGCTTCTATAGATTTGGTTAGATCCATCTCCAGATTCATGGCCCTTGCAGTAGCATCAAGACGTGCTCGTTGGCTACGTAATTTGGTGGCACATACATCTTCAAAAAATAGCCCTCCCTTTCCAAGGGGATATGCTTTTT